ACTTTGGACCAAGATTGTAAATTTTCACTTTGAATCGATAGAAAATAATAATAATAATAATAATAATAATAATAATAATAATAATTAAAAAAAAAAGATAGATAAAGGAGAATTACCTGTGTTGGCAGATTAAAGTGCAGATTTGTTTGAGGAAATCTGTTATTGCTGTACTCGCGTTTGATAAGAACCGAGAGAAAAAATGAATTTGGGAGGAGAGTTTAACTGTGTTCTTGCAACTGAGAGGAGGGTAGGGAGTTTGGGTTATTTGAATTGGGAAGGGAAAAATTAAACGGTTGCCACTATTAAAATAACCAGAAATGCTATGGAGCCATCCATAATTTTTTGTATTGACATGTGTCCAATGTGTATTTATTGCACGACACGTGTCAATGCACCATTTGTGGATAACTATGGATGACTCCATAAGTCGAGCCATCCCATGGCTCCGTAGCAAAACCGTTAAAATCACACCAATTTCATTTTATTGAGAATTTAATTACATTAATTTTAAATTCTTTATTAATTATTTTATTTATTTGTTTATATATTATTTTTTCAGAATATTACACACGACTAGTATTTGATCCCGTGCATTTGTACAAATATAAACACGTTTTTGTTTGTATTTATTAATTAGACATGTACTTCTATCATATAAAAATTATTACTTTTTCATAAGTTATTTTTATCATTCAAAATTAATGAAATTTAAATTTTATTTTAACCATGCAACGTTTACATTAGTAACATGAATAAAATAATATATATATTTGTGCCATATATTAAAAAATTAACATAAATAAAAAATTATTGGTGTTTCTGATTTTTTAGAAAAAAGAATATCTGTCAATCATATTTTTCTTCCAACAATGCAACCAAATATAGTGGTTACATTTCATAAATAAAATAATATATATATTTGTGGCATATATTAAAAAAATTAACATAAATAAAAAAATTATTGGTGTTTCTGATTTTTTAGAAAAAAAGAATATCTGTCAATCATATTTTTCTTCCAACAATGCAACCAAATATAGCTGTTACATTTCTGAATGTGTCAATCAACTTTAAGTTCCAACATTAGCCGTTACACATTTGAATATTTTGCTACCGAATTTAGAATTAATTTAATAACTGATCGAAAAAATAAATAATAAAATATATATGGTGTAACGGTTTTAGCAAATTAATGAGTAATTAATTAAAAAAAATGTAACTTCTTTTCGAGGGAAATGAAAATAGGTTTTATTAAATATTTTATTAAATGCATCAGCTAGTAATTTTATATATATAGATATGATCACTATGCGGGGTTGTTTGGTGTCGAAAATGGTCCTGTGCTGTTTGCCTGTTTATGAGACATTTTCACCTGCCTATTACCTATCCTATTATGTTTTTACTATCTTAATGAAAGTTTGAATATGTCTTTTGGCATTTTGTAGGAGAACAAATTAGTTCAATACCTATTTTCTAATATTTATTATGTTAAAAAATATATCAACGGTGCATAGATGGTCCAGCTAAGCAGCACTTTTGTCTGTTTGGAGCTAACTTTCGCCCTATTAACATACTCGTCTGTCTCTGGAGTCTGCATAAGAATTCTAGATATGTGTCGAGCAATAATCACTTTAATACTTGTTTTCTGTTTGAAACTATGTTTACAATGCGAACATTGCGCCTGAGTGTTTTGTTAGATAACTTAGATTTTGTAGCTCAGCAGAGTTTTGCTCTGTTTTCACTCTTGTAATGGACTAGTTAGTTCTCATAGTCTTCGTGAGAGTATTAAGGAGGTTAGAGGTATATTCGTTTGGGGTGTTGACTGATAATTTTAATTTTTCTTTTAGATTTAAGACTTATTAATAATTTCATATTTATGAGCAGTCCTTGGAAATCTTATGTACACATGTGCGATTTGAAGTGAGATTTCGTTTATGGTTTTTATTTTTGAAGTCTTAGCAAATCTTATAAAGTCCTTAAAAAATCTCAGCGTCAAATAAGATAAATACCTCATGATTTTGTAACTTTTTAAAATCTCAAATAAGTATCTCGAGACTTTTAAAAGTCTTAAAATGTTTAAGATAAATGCACCAGGATTTCTACAATCTTAAACCGTCTTTAGAAATCCAAAAATTGCATCCTCCTTAGTTTTGTATCTTATCTTTTCATTCCTTCATGAACTAGCTCAATATCTATTTTATGAAAAAAATTGTGGTGAAATTACGAAAAGGTGCCGTGTGGTTTGTCTTGTTCCTGTAAGAGCTTAACAATGTCCTCCTACTTCGACATTTGGATCCTCGAAGGAGTTTATTTATTGAGCCGAATCGAAATTTATTACTCGAACTTTATCATAATAATTAAAGTTCGCGTACCGCACTTTATTTTGAAGTGGGTAAAAACTTTAAAATTTATTCCACAAGGAACTATATTTTGTTTCATTAGCACGTATATTAAATCCTCGATGATATGTTTCTTATGTTATAATTTATAAAGCTAATCAACCGAGCATGTTGGCTTGTGGTTATTTTCCTGGGCAAGTCCATGTCCTGTTTGGATTGGAGATCGGTGGGCATGGAGCCATCATTTTGCCAAGTTGATGGCGTGCTACATCAATTTTATACTCCGATTTCTTCGTAATTGTGTCTAGAGCTTTTCTACGAGCCGGGCTGATTAGCTCATGTTCGAACTTTTGCGTGTTTAAGAAACAAGCTGATTCTGTTCGGCTTGTTTATAAAATGAACAGAGGGCTCGGCTCGAGTTCAACTCGTTTAAGCTCTTTGCTGCGGTTTGACTCATTTATTAAACCTAAAACGCAAAACGAGTTGGTCGTAGACAAGTTTAAATTGGCGGCTTTATTTAAAATCCACAAAAATTTTAAAAAGGAAAAGAAAAAATAAAAGTTGTTAGCGAACAGGCTGTGTGGAATTTAGGTGAGTGGAGGCTGTAAGACATTGACGTAAGTATTATGTTTATTGTTATTTAAATACCTCACATAGGATGAAAGGAAATTAGCATGCATTTTTTTTTTTTTTTTAGATTTCGAATGATGATTAGTGTCTTGAATGTGATGGCTTTTTGATAATTCCAACTTGTAGAGTGAAGCCAAGTTGATACAGAAGTTGTTCCTTTTGTGATTAAGTGATTAACTCAAATGCTGGGGTTTATTTCAGAGCTCTAAATAGCATGAATTAATTCAGTCATCTGTATTTATATTATCTGCTATTTTCACTTATTATTGTGCTTCTATTGTCAAATTGAAAACCAAATTTAGCCACGGTCAGTTGTTTGTGCGAACATGGGTAAAAAGGAAAATGCTGAACCTTTAGTTATTCAATATCAAAGAATACACTTACATCGGTAAGTAACTAGTGGTTGGTGATTAGGAATGGAGGCTATAAAGGATGGTTCGATTTCGGGTGTTTTACCTAGTAGCAGCGAAGTATTTGCTGTTCATTACCCTGGTTACCCTTCTTCAACTGAACGAGCAGTCGAGACACTGGGTGGAAAAGACGGCATCCTCAAGGTATCTACGCATTTATTTTGTTATCGACCAGGTTCCTGGTTGTAGTTTTTTGGTTATGTTTTTCAATGAGCATTATTAATAAATTCAACAATTCAGTTGTGGGTGAAAAGCTAAAAATTTATTTGTTTATGAAAGGAAGTAGTATATTTGTGAGGATACAGCCAGTTTTATTATCGTTGTGTTCCAACATTTTATCAATGCACTTCTTTGAAGACAATTTTATCCATGCTTATTGCCAGTGAATATGGTGATTCTTTTTTTTAATTATGTCATACTCTCTCTCTCTCTCTCTCTCTCTCTCTCCTCCCCCTGAAGCAATTTTAAAACTGTATTTTCAGGTTCGTTCAGAGAAGTCAAACAAGTTAAAGCTACTTTTTCGTCCTGAAGATCCATATTCCCACCCAGCCTTTGGGGAACTCCTGCCCTGCAATAATTACCTGTTGAGAATCTCCAAAAAGAAAGTTAAGGACTCGCAAAATGTGAAAGATTGCAAGAATTCTAACCATACGTCATCGAATTCACTTCACACCGAGAAGAATATTGCAATCTCTCAGTCAACAGAAACTACTGAAAATATCACGCAACTTGAATGTGATTCCATTTCAGCTGCTTCAGAAGTCGAACAGATAAATGATGGAGCTCAAGAGGAGCTATTTGCTGACATCGTTTCTAGAGTTTCTGAGGCATATCACTTCAATGGTGATATTTTTTATCCTATTAATAAGTGCAGTTTAACTGTTGCTACACAAAGTCACATCGTTCTATGTGCATCTTATGCCATGTTTAATCTATTTTTCTTAAGGGATGGTGGATTATCAGCATGTGCTTGCTGTTCATGCTGGTGTAACTCGAAGGAAGAAAAGAGACTGGGCTGAAGTAGAACCACAATTAGGTAAACATGTTTCTTGATTTGAGCTTTGGCTTAAATTAGTTCTGACTTTTGTGCTCCTTTCCTTTACTTTTTCTTCTACACTCTGTAGAGGAAGTTGGTCTATTGGATGTTAATCAGGACGACTTAATGATTTTAGTGCCACCACTATTTTCAAAGAAGGATGTTCCTGAAAAAGTTGTGTAAGATGCTTTTCTTTGTTTACTGCTTTCCTTTGTTTACTTATCTTCACCAAGCATTTTGTATTCTATCATGAGCATTGCGGATGCTTTGAATAAGAAAACTTTATTATTGTAGTGAATGTTCACTAAGTGTAGTGTTTAGGAATAAAAAATCCCTTTGGCGACCTTTTGTTAGATTGCATTTGTATATGTTAGTTCTACATTGAATTCGAGGCCTCCTATTTCAGTCTTTTTGTGGATGTTTTATGTATTGTGCAACTGAGACTTCAGTGTTCAATCTTAACGACTGTATATTTGCAGTTTGAAAACATATGGAGATCCGAGTTCGAAAAAGAAACAAGAGGAACCCGTACAGCCACGTTGGGGGGTAAGTTACAGGAAAGCGATTAACTGTATTTTCCAAACTGGAAATATATGATGTGATGGAAACTGATTACCAGTCCTTCTGTTGGATAACTATGGAATTGCACTAATATAAAAAAGACTACTTCTCTCCATTGTTGCATACAATATTGCATATGAACATGGATGCTGACCACATTGATATGTTCAAATTTGGAATTCCGAGACTGCCAATTATTTTTCAAATTATTTGCCTGCTAAATACAGGTTTCCTTCAAAGAGAACATGAAAATCTCCTCTCATTTATCCTCGGCTACAAATTTTACTTACAGCCAAGCATTGCTTTCTGGTCTTAGATAAAAGTATCTTTATGTATCTTTCGCAATGGCATGCTTAAATGATTGCTTTCCAGATTTAAAGGTTTGTGCTGTCCGACTGTTTTAGTTGTACTGTTGATATACATATGGTTTTCTATATTTTGTAGCGCTGTGTTTGATTTGTTTATTTAGATATTGGTATTTGTGATGCAGATGGAGATCGAGCAGTGTCTTGCCATTGACTTCCACATCAAAGATATCCTTGTGGAATGTTGAAATTCGTAATGTACAACATGTGATGTTCATATAAAAAAACATCAGATGTCTCCTTTTAGCATTTGAGTTCTCTATAATGTCTGAGCAATTCAAAATTTATGCTTGACCACAGGAAACTATATGCAGTGCGAGTCTGTATTTCCACATTCACCATGAATCGCTTGCATCTCGTTTCTGTTTGAATGCTATTTGCTGATGATGTTAAATGTGAAAAGCATGGGTTTTAGACGATAAGGGTATTCAATGAAAAGCTACCTGACCAATTTTATTGGTACCTCGTGTGGCATTCTTTTTTATTTATTATCGTAATCTAGTTAGAATGAGCCTGTATGATAAGCTGCATTTTTTTTTTTATAATTAAAGTTAAAAGTTTTCATTATATGATCTATGTTTTTTCTTCTGCATTTTCTTTTTTTTCGTGTTCACTTGACATTCATACAGATCCCCAAGAAAGTGAATTGGGAGGATTCCATACCCAGAAATTCAGATCAATGGCGATTGCAGATGGCAGTTTGTGAAATGTTTGATGAGCGTCCAATATGGACCAAACATTCATTAGCTGAACAGTTACTTGACCGAGGTATAAGTGTTGTAAACAAAGTTCTCAGAAGGTGGGTTCCTTTGTTATTGTCTTGTAAACTTATCTATTCTTGGTGTTACATGTATATATATACTGGCATAAACATATTAGACTTAAAATCTCTAACGTAAGCCCGTCTCCAATTTCCAGGCTTCTTTTTATAGCAGCATATTACTTTTCGAATGGGCCATACCTGAGGTTCTGGATCAGAAAAGGATATGATCCTCGCAAGGATCCCGAGTCCCGCATGTAAGTCTGCTTATTAGATAAGCTTCGGATTTTGTAATTTCCTTTTGTAAAGTTTTGACTTCTGGAGGTCCATATACGCTGGTGGTTAGTTAAAACTGTGGACATAAGAATTTCTTTGGTTGAGGATGGAATATAAAAATGTCTTATATAATAACTTTTATATAATTTGAAAGCAGAACTCTAGGTTCAGACTTGCATCTGCTAACACTATCCATGTGTTGAAGCACAAACTAGTTTAGAATGAAATTGACGCTTAAAAAATCAATTTCATTCTAAAGAAAAAGAATTTTAATTTTTTGAGTAGTAGGTCTGTCAGCGTTTGAAATGGAGTATTGAATATATCAGATTTGGAAGCTCGATTAGCTGCTTCGGTCCCAAGATGTGGTAGTCTGGAATGAAACAGAAGGTTTTCTTAAGGAAAACATGACTAGTTGCTATCTTTTAACTTCGCTATCCTCAAACTCGGTTTCTTCTCAATTTTTCCTACCATTTTGAAAAATGCTATGGCAGTAATTTACAGACTGGGGGTGTATTCAATTAGAACTCTTAGAGACTTTTTAACTTTTTAAGACTTTTTAAAATTGATGACTTTTGTGGACTTTATGCAAATTTTAATGACTTTTGTGGATTTTGTGAGATTGTTATAGAGACTTTTTAAGACTAAAACTTCTACATAATTCTTAATATAATAAGTAAATTTGAATGAAATGCTAAAAAACTATGTGCATAATAATTAATATCAATAAAGTCAAATTAGTAATACAAAAATTTATAATATTAATTTAAAATATGTTATGATATTAAACACTATTTATTGAGGTAGAATGAAGACGAGAGAAAAATATTATAACAAACGAACTCCATAAGAAAAAAAAAGCATGAAAAATATTAACAATAGAAAAATAGAAATTTTAAGAAAAATAGAAAAACTACAAATAACAAAAATAAAATTAACAATACGTCGAATATTTTGAGGGTGACTTCTAGTTTGGTGTTAATGAAATTTCTAATTGGAACAAATCAATAGATTAGTGTTCTAATCATTAGTGTAGGATAAGATTTATCAAACCTGATGAGATTTCTATTTGGATACAAATCAATAGATTTGTGTTCTAATCATTAGTACAACTTTTAGGACAAAATTTATCAAACGATTATACAAAAGCACACAATATTCAAAATTGAGAAACTCTACAAATTAAGCAGTTTTCAATGACAGGCTAACTAGTTAAGGTATGTGAATTAAGTTCAAAATAAAAACTCTCAAGACAAAATCGTATAGAAAAGATAAATATACAGGAAAATAAAACCAATACATGTATGCTATTTAAATGCTTATATTCCACCAAATATGATCACAGACCATTACACAACCTACAATAATTAATTTTTAAAGAACAATAGAAAAAAAAGATAGCTGGAGAGGGGGTAAATTTTTTTGAGTTAATGTGGATTGGCCGTGAAAGTGGATGTGTCAAAGTTGAGAGAAAAAAGAGTATGAGAGTAGCTAGTAGAAAAGAAAAAGTTTTACGCATAAGTCTGGTGAGATTTTCACAAGTACTATTTCTTCAACTTTTTTTTTTTTTGGTGAAAAAGTCTAAGAATCCTTTATTTTTAAAAGTCTCACAAAATCTTCATAACTTCAATAACAGACAACTTTTAGAGACTCTTGGAAAGTTTTAATTGAATACATGTAAACCTTTTGAGAGTCTCCAAAATTCCAAGACTTTTTAAGGCTTTTGATATGTTGGGGTATTCAATTGAAACTTTTGGAGACTCAAAAAAAGTTTACATGTATTCAATTCTTTAAACGTTACCTGTTATTCAAGTTTCAAGTTATGAAGAAGTTATGAAGGTTTTATGAGACTTTTAAAAATAAAGGAATTTTATAGACTTTTTCACCAAAAACATGAAGAAATGATACTTGTGAAAATCTCACCAGGTTTGTGAGGTTTTTGTGATTTACGTGAAGACTTTTTCTTTTCTCTTCCATTAGACACTCTCATACTCTATTTTTTCTCAACTTTGACCCATCCAACTTTCACGGCCATTAACTCAAAACAGTTTACCTACTCTCCAGCTATTTTTTTTTCCTTTTATTTGTAGCTTGTGTAATGGCCTGTCAGATATCATATTTGATGGAATAGAAACACTTAAATAGCATATATGTATTGGTTTTTTTTTTTCCTGTATATTTATCTTTAATATACGATTTTGTCTTGGGAATTTTGCTGAACTTAATTCGCATACCTTAACTAGTTAGGCTGTCATTGAAAACTGCTTAATTTGTAGAGTTTCTCAATTTTGGATGTTGTCTGCTTTTGTTTAATGGTTTGATAAATCGTGTCCTAAAAGTTGCACTAATGATTAGAACACTAATCTATTGATTTGTATCCAAATAGAAATCTCATCAGGTTTGATAAATCGTGTCTTAAAAGTTGCACTAATGATTAGAACACTAATCTATTGATTTGTATCTAAATAGAAATCTCATCAGGTTCGATAAATGAATGAATGTTATCCTACTACTGATGATTAGAACACTAATCTATTGATTTGTTCGAATTAGAAATCTTATTAACACCAAACTAGTAGTCAACCATCAAAATATTTGACGTATTGTTAATTTTGTTTTTGTTATTTGTAATTTTTCTATTTTTCTTAAAATTTCAATAAGATAAATATTGCACTCTTTGAGTATATTTTTCATGTTTTTTTTACTTATCGGGTTCGTTTGTTATAATATTTCTCGTCTTCATTCTAGCTCAATAAATAGTGTTTATTATCATAACACATTTTAAATTAATATTATAAATTTTTGAATTACTAATGTGACTTTATTGATATTAATTATTATGCACATAAGTTTTGAGCATTTCATTCAAATTTACTTATTATAGTAAGAATTATGTAGAAGTGTTAGAAAGTCCCAAAAGTTCACGTTGAAAGTCTTAAAAAGACTCCATAACAATCTCACAAAATCTACAAAAGTCATTAAAAGTTGCATCAAAAGTCATCAATTTTAAAAATTCTCTAAGAGTTCTAATTGAATACACCCCAATAAAAGTCCTAACTGAATACACCCTTCTAAGAGTTGTAAGTTATGTCAGTTAATATATTTCAAAGATGAAAATTCAAAAAGTTGACATACTTCAGCCATGAATCTGTGGATTACATTCAACATGGATTCATGGTGAGTAATGGGATTTCTCACCTCAGAAAAAAAAAAAAAAAAAACCTATTAAACTGTAATAGTCTGTATATTCCATCTTTTTTCCTTTTATAAAGGCCAAGTCTCTTGAGAAAGAATAATATCTCTGTTCAGATGCAATGTAAGTGTGGATCTTTATGTGTCCAGACAGTGCTAGAATATCTGTCTCTGTCATTATTTATTACTTTCATATTCTATCAAGTCCTGGAAATATTTGGACTCTGAATGAATCTAATAAATTTGTTTTCTGTGTTGCCTGTAAATTGAAATAGTTGCTTCTTGTGACTTAATTAGATATCAGAGGACTGATTTTCGAGTACCTCCTTCGTTACGAGGTTATTGTGACACCAATGAGCTATCAGGGTAAGGTTTTCTCGTGATTCTTAAAGATTTACGTACGTAATGGTTTACTTAGTGTTTCAGTCATGTTGCAGTTGCACTATAAGAAGTGAATATTAATCGCATCATTTCATTTTCACTGGTTAAATCTTTATCCTGGGGAAAGTACTAATAATCACTTGCATAGCATGCTAGTAAATTTGTTGTCAATAGCTGCATCTAATTCTTCCCTTAGGCGAAGAATTCTGTTTGTCTGCTTTTACAAGGTATTATCTATCTTTTATAAAATTGTACCGGGTTTGTTACAGAGGTTGCTTTAAAAATCAAAAGCTTAATAAAGTTTTAAGCATTGAGCAACATGGTATGTTGGCTAAATGGATCCCCTGTTCCTTAAACTTATTCCGCAAAATCCTTTTCGTTCCTTCAAATAGTTCTGTCCAAATATATATCATGTGGTCCATGAATTTTCAATTCTGAATCTTTATGTTTCAACTTCCTTCTCTTGAGCAACCCATGTGGGCAATATTAGGGTGTATATGTAACTCTCATTCTAGTAATTTGGCTGATTTATTAGGTTTAGTTGGAACACTGAACAATTGATATTCGTCGTGTTCTGTTCAAATATATATCATAAGGTTCATGAATTTCTGTTCCTCTTCAAGATTTCTGTATTTGATAAATGATGATAATCTATACAAATTGTAATGTATTTCAGTTAAGATGTATTTAGTGAACTATAACTGGAACTCAATACTTCATGGATGATGTCGTCCTGTTCCTTTTTGTTTTTTTCTTCGGTCAAACTTGATCGTGTTCTATTGTATAGATTGAAGTGCAGATGGGAGGATATTTGTGCATTCCGAGTTTTCCCTCGCAAATGTCAGCTTTCTCTGCAACTCTTTGAACTTAAGGATGACTATATTCAGCAAGAAATCAGGAAACCTGCAAGTCAAGAAATCTGCAACGTATGCTATATCCATACTTTCCAATGTTGTCTTTAGAAAAAGCTGGCATATTTTTTTATATGAGAAATCTAAAGCGTTTTTTGTTTGTGTAGATTAAATAAGTATCTTAAAATTAAAAAAAAAAAAAAAAATTGACTTGTCTCCTGTTCTGGAAACTCATCCAAGATAATATTAGAATGATGTCGCAGTTGGCTAGTTTGCACATTTATCATATGCTAGTATGTGGATAAGAAAACATTTGAATGAGTTTCATCTTTGTCAGCTGCAAAATGGGTGGTTTTCAGTTCATGTAATTGAGTCCTTGAGATGGCGAGTCGCTCAGAGGTTTCTGTCGGTTTATCCTGAGGCTGGTGCAGAATCATTGCTCCGGAGTGTTACCAAAAACTTTGAGAAGTCAAACAGATTGCAAGTGCATAAGACGGATACAAAAGTTGATGGAGAGGGAAAGCAAGCTGATAAAGGTTCTTATCAACTATTTAAACCATATAGTTCTGTATTACACACACACATACGTGACTTAAAATGAGTCCACTCGTTAAAATGAGTACATGAGACTTAATTTTAGCCATTGATTTGTGTAGATAAATGCTCATGTTATTCAATTGGAAAATACATTAATTAAATAATAAAAAAATATTATTTATTTAAGTTAATTATATATAAAAAATAACTTAATGGGCCATTTTGTCCTCCAATGCGTTTAAAGTCGAGCTTTTGTATGATCCAAATAGTTATCATACAACAGCCACCATGATATGTTCTTCAACTTTTGCTGGGCAGTTGTGTAAGTAAATGATCGTTTGTATATCTTCTCTTTTTTACTGCAGTAACGTATAACACTTATTTCCACATTGCAGAAGTTTTAGAAACCGAAGATAAAGAAACTAATGATGAAGCTGAATATGAGGAAGATGAAGATGAGATGGAGGATTACAACCTTGAAGAAGACGTGGATGCAGATGACGAGCTTGATCCGGTGATTTTATAAATTCTAATTATATATATACTTATTTCAACCTCCATATCAGCTAGCTATGAAAAACAGGCATTGATTTCACTGACATTTGGATCTTCTTTTTTGCCACGCGGATCAGGACGGGAGTTTCTCGTTGCCAGGATGTATCCTTTGCAAAATGCTCTAGTTTTATGTCTGTGATAGTTCATTTCGTCTTTTGTTTTTCTATTTCCTTTGAAATAAGTTTTGAAGTTTTGCTGCAATTTTCCTCTGTTCATGTCATTCGTAGTTCCCGAAAACACTTCAAATGTTGAGGAGTGAAGCGAAAATTTAGAAGAACAAAGCAGGTCCCCAACTCATAACCATAATTTTCCATCAGTAGACAAGCATTTTATACATCTTTCTTTATTCCTACTTTTTCTTCCTTCAAAACAGGCGATCAGGGCTAATGTTACGGCTAATGTTTCTCTTTTTTGACCTCATGGTTCTCACTTTGTTTGCCTTTTAGGTTTTACACGTCTCCTTGAAAGTTTAACACTCGGAAATTACAGGGATATCATCCAAGTTAGTTATATAATCCTATACACGTTTCAGACATGGACCATGAAAATATCTCTAAGGACTATCTACAGGAGCTTTTTGGTAGTTTTCCGTTTGGTGCTACCGGTGGACACGAAATGCCAGATGATGATGGAGGAGGCTATCAGATTTATGATGATAATTTTTCTGAGGATGAAGATTACTAATATGCCATCTTTTTTGTTTTATTTGATATTTTTTTTTTCAGTTTCTTAGCTTTGGCTCGAGCCTCGCTCGGGTCAGTTTTCATGAAGAACACGGCGAGTACGCTTCATGCTGCACCACAATGATAATCAAGTTGTGCAGTGGCATCACCCTTTTGCAGTTTAAGACTTCATCATTAGGTACTAAGAACATGTAAATAGTTTCCACTGTAAAAGCAGACGAGCCATTTAATTCTATACCATAATTTACGACAATTTTCATTTGGATGTACTATTACTGAATCGATCTTCCTAAATCAAAAATTTAGGAAAGAATGTGAAATGGTATAGCAGATAGAAACAAGTATAAATTTAAATCAAAAATCGAGTTGAACCGTGCATTTCACGACACTTGGGGAGTGCAATGAAAAATAAACAAAGGAGTGGTTCATTTCGAAATTGAAAAGAGATTTAGGAATATATTTGAAAGAAGCCCTAAAATTGATAGAGACCTAATTTTGATTACATGTTGTACCTTTCTACATTATTATCCCAATATTCAAAAGCCGTAGCATAAAGCAAAGATACAAAATTTAGATGGAAGAAAAAGAAGGGCACGCTCCGACAACAAAGTATAATGTAACACCAAAGACAATAGTAACAACTAACAATACATTACAAAACCAGTAGATAATTTAAAGAAGGAAAAGTTGCCGAAAGGAAACACAGAAAATCAAGAAATCCAACAAATTTAGGAATGTCAAATTATATATTAAAAAAAAAAATCCATTTTTTTTTTTGGCAAAATTGCAAATTTTTAGTCCTGTTCGTTTGATCCAGTGGCGTTTTTAGTCCTAAGAATTGAATAGTTTTGCTAATTTTAGTCCTAAGAATTGAATAGTTTTGCTAATTTGCTCATATGATTTTAAAATTCAACGCAAGTTCAGACCTTTGAGACTGAAAATGCAACAAAATTTAAATTTACAGAACTTAAGTTACTAATAAAAAATATTTTGGATGGATTTTTAATTAGCAATTTAAGTCCTGTAAATTTGAATTTTTGTTGCAATTTCAGTCTCAGAGGACAGTCCCAAAGGATTGCACTATACCAAATGACTGAAATTGCAGCAAAATACTAAATTATAGGATCAAAAGACAAAAAGTTGAAATCGTAGGACTAAAAATACTACTTATGATATTAAATCAGTAGGACTAAAAATACAATTTTACTTCTTTTTTTTTTGGCTTTCCGAAAAGAAAAGAAAAGAAAAGAAAAGGAAAGAGGAGCAAGACACCCTCCACACATTTGTTGCAGGCTCCTTTTTTTCACTACACTTCACACAACACTTTGCTGTGAACCCAACACTTGGCTCTACAGTGGAGCTAATCTCCTATACACAGCAAGTAAACTATACTATATTCTCTAAAAACTTAAATAAATACTACGAATATCGAGAAATCCACAAATTTACGAACGTCAAATTACATTTTTTTTTTTTATAAAAAAGACCCA